CCTGCGGGGCGCAGCCCGCCCGCCCCGCCCCCAGGTCCTGGCCCGCGGCGGGGTGCCCGCAGGTCTGGGGTGCGGTCAGCCTTTTCCTGCGGTTGAGCTGCAGGTGGTGTGTGCGGGTGTGTCAGTCCTGGGGCTTGAACTCGGGGCCTGGGCACTGTCCCTCAGCTCTTCGGCTTGAGCCACGGCGCCACTTCCGGCTTTTTCTGCTTCTGTGGTGCTGAGGATTCGAACCCAGGGCCTCAGGCCTGCGAGGCGAGCGCTCTACCCCTGAGCCACCTTCCCAGCCTAATTTTTATAATCTTTAAAAAGAAAAAACCCGGACAGTGTCAGGAGAGCTAAAATCCTGGTCCATTACCAGCTTTTCAGTTTGGCTAGAGGTAAAGATAGGATCTGTTTAGAAGGAAATGTAAAACCCATCTGCTTGTGTGTGTGTGTGCGCGCGCGTGTGCGCTCTCACAGAAGACACACAGATAATCAGCTGGCACCCAGAAAGAAAACATGGAAAAACAACATGATGAAATCGTATTTCAGAGTACTGGCTGCTCTCAAGAGATCTGTAGTTTTTAGTGGCCATTAATGGGATTTTTTCTGAACTCTGGTCCTGGGCGCTGTCCCTCAGCTCTTCAGCTCTAGGCTAGCGCTCTACCACTTGAGCCTTAGCACCACTTTCAGCTTTTTCTGTGTATGTGGTGCTGAGGAATCGAACCCAGGGCCTCCTGTATGGGAGGCAAGCGCTCTACCACTGAGCCACCTTCCCAGCCCCTAATGGGACTTTCATACTTAGCGATTGTTCTGTTTTGTTTTTTCAAATAATGATTTTAAATACAAATAAAATCCAGTGAACAGTGTGAAAGCCAGTAACTAGTTCTGTAGTCAGACCCAACAAACCAGAGGCCTGGCTCAAGCAACAGAGCACCAGTAGGAAGCAGCTGAGCAGGAGCAAGAGACTCCTAGTTCAGGCCCTGGGATCTGTCTGCACCATCCACATCCACACCCACACAGCGAGAACTGTACTCACATTTTACTGCATCCGAAAATCACAGTTAAGGGGCTGGGAAGGTGACTCAGTGGTAGAGTGCTTGCCTTGCATGCATGAGGCCCTGGGTTTGATTCCTCAGCACCACATAAGCAAAAAAAAAAAATCACAGTTAAGTGTTCCTCTGCACAACCGTCCTCAATTTGTTTTAAAACAGTTTTTTTTGGTGGGGGTCTTTCTCCTTTCCTTTTGGTCCTGGTCTTGGGGGGGATGAAGTCAGGATTTGGGTGTTGTCCTTGAGCGTTTGTGCTCAAAGCTAGCACTGTACCACTTGAGCCACAGTTCCACTTCCAGCTTTTTTTTTTTAAAGTAGTTAATTGGAGAAAAGAGTCTCACAGACTTTCCTGCCTAGGCTGACTTCAACCCTCGATCCTCTGATCTCAGCCTCCTGAGTAGCTTAGGACTACAGATGTGAGCCACTAACACTGGCCCTGAGAAATGGGAGGTTAGAGCCGGGAGAAAGCTCAGTAGCCTAGTGGTAGAGCACCTAACCTAGCAAGAGAGTAAAAGTTCCTGAAGACAAGTCCGTGTTACTGAGCTGGAAACAGAATGGTGCATTTTTGAAGGGCCAAGGGAAAAAGATAAGCACACTCTACTTCTTGGGAGGGTTGGTGGGAGGGAGATAGCATCTTCCTAATGGTTACACCTAAGTAGTTGGATTTACATTCCCATCCACCCCACCCTCACCCCCCAAGCCCTCAGAGGAGTTAATCAGACAACTTGATCTCTGCAGCCTGTGGTTTACACAGAATAAAGAAAGGGCAGGAAGTGCTCATATATTTTGGAAGGTTCCCACTGAGTGAGCAGGAAGCTAGGAGGGAGATAGCTGCAGATGAAGGCCTCACCCCAGGCTCCCTGGAGGAACACTGCCTTTGGGAAAACACGTGCAAAAAAAAAAAAGGAGAAACCCCAAGTTGAAATGTTCTCATCCAGGCCTAGACAGGACCTGTCCTGTTTATACAGGTTCAAGGAGAAACACATGGAGTTTGGACACACCCAAGGTACCGGAAAAAGGCCCCACTTGATTTGTCTGCGGATCTGGAGGTCCCATGTATGTTTCTTTTGCTTTATGGAAGAAATGTTTTGGAGTCCCCCAGGGACAGTCTGGACCTGGGAAGGTAGTGCAGACTTGAGTCCCTGTTCCGGAATCCTGGTTTGAAGGCAGAAGTAAAGCCGGAAGGTGGGGGAAGGGAAAGGAAAATGCAAGATGAGCTGGAGAAATGGAGAAAGACAACAACAGACCTTGTGATCCCACATTAGTAAAAGGGTAAGAAGTACAATGTTTTTGGGGTTGCTTTTTTTTCTTTACTCTTACCATGTTTGTCTACACATTGTGTGTGTGTGCGCGCGCGCGCGCGTTCACGCCTGCACAGTCCTGAGGCTTAAACTCGGCCTGGTACCATCCCTGAGCTTTTCATCTCAAGGCTAATGCTCTACCACTTGAGCCAAAGCTTCACTTCCAGCTTTTTGGTGGTTAGTTGGAGATAAGAGTCTCAGATTTCCCTGCCTGGGCTGGCTTTGAGCCTCGATCTTCAGACCTCAGCCTCCTGAGTGTAAGGTCTGAACAGGGACACCTCCTTCCCTCTTCGGTCAGTTTCCTCCCAGTATCTGTTACCTAGGTAACTGGCAGACCTGAAGCAGTCACCTTCCCCTCCGGCTAGGTCACATCCTTGGCCACCTCCCTTCACAAGCCTCCCATCTGACCTTAGGAGGGTTGAGAGGGAGGTGTCCCTGTTCAGACCTTACTCTAGGCAGCTAGGATGACAGGCGTGCGCCACCAGCGCTGGCTGTGTAACCATTTCAATGCTGGGACCTGATTCCTAAGCCAAGTGCATATTGGCCAAGAAGAAATTGAAATCCAAGCTAGCCTTGTGCTAATCCTGCTGGGTGCCCCCCCACACACACAAGCACCAGTCAGCTTCAGACCTGGGAGGCAAACTTCTCCCAAACAGGCCCACCCCCCACAGCCGGTCCTTCAGTCTTGCTAAGATCTAGGGACAGGGCTGTGCCTTCCATAGAAGATCTTAACAGTGGCCCTTCCTCAGCAGATCTGCCTGTATCTAGAGTTTTCTTTCTGCTTGCAGCAGGATCTTTGGAACTTTCTGCAAAGTGTTCCCTTGCCAAGTTTTTGTAAGAGAGACGTGGTTCTGTGATGCATGCCAGGCCATTAAGACTTCTTTGAGCTGGGAGCTGGCGGCTCACGCCTGTCATCCTAGCTACTCAGGAGGCTGAGGTCTGAGGATCGAATCGTAATTCAAAGCCAGCCTGGGCAGGAAAATCTGTGAGACTCTTATCTCCAGTCAATTACAAACAGAAAAATCGTAAGCCAAGCTGCGGCGCAAGGGGTAGAGCGCCAGCCTTGAGGAAC